TATTGATTAACAAAAGTGAAAGAATTTTAATAAATGCCAATTCAGGTTTAGTTTAAAACAAAGCTTAATTGAAGAACAATAGTAAGGCATCTCTATAGTGAGAACTAAAGTCATAGTTATATAAATAAGTTTAAATTACTCATCATTAGCCATAAATTCCTCTGATACTCTAAATACGTAGTTATATTGCTTATAAATTATAATTGTAGCAATATATATACTGAAAAGTATCATAATCGATGATAGTATCTTGAAACTAGTTTGAATACATGTACATGCCTCATGATTGAACAAAAATTGACAGAGCATATATACTAAAACAAGAATAAATAGAAGTACTATGATAAGTTTTCAGAATAGTAACATGAAAAACAACAAGATGACAGAAGACGGTGAGAAAACTAAAAAAAAAAGTAAATTACATTATATTAGTAATATGAATAAAGCTGTAATATGTAAATAAGATAAGATATTTATCTGATAGTAGCTTTAAAACAATTGATAAAGGGAAAAATAGTAGAAAAAGTAATAGAGGAAATCTAAAAATAGACAAGTTAGATAGTGGTTACAAACATTATAAAAATAGTAACAAAATTATTGAATAAACTTATTCTTCATAGCTTTAGCTTCTTAGAAAGATCATTCATCTATATAGTTTGTTATTAAGTTAAAAAGTTGTAGTTAGTAGTTGACCCAGCTAAGTAAACTATAATATATAGAATTTAAATCTTATTTTACATTTTTTTTTTCAAGATTAGTATTTTTAACAAAAGCCAGATCTGTGTAGTGATATTTATTGCTTTTAAGTTTTTTATAATTATATATTAGTTTTTAGTTACAATGGCAGAAACTAGTAGCTCTTCAAGTAGTAAGCCACTGGATAGGTCTTTAGTTAATAGAGTTAAAAAAAAAACATTAAATTCGACAAATACCAATAAGGTTAAGAGACAGACTAATGAAACTGAAAAGACTAAACAAACTACATTAACAAAAGCTTAAAAAGCTAAAATTTGTTATCTGCGTAAAAGTGGATTTACTTAGCTTTCATTTGCAAACCAATTCAAAATTGGTAAATTAATAGCTTCAAAGATACTTAAACAAGAAGATTACTAACTTTTAATTGATCCAAATTCAATACAAGCAAAATCTAAATGAGATCGCTTAGCTAAATATCTCTAGCTTGAAGAAGTATTAAGTTTATTGATTTTAAAAGCTGAAGCTTATCACTAAACAATTACAGGAGCAATTATATAATATAAAGCTTTTTAGTTTGCTGAAAGCTTACAAATTAGTAATTTTGAAGGGTCAGAAGGTGGCTTGTAAACTTTAAGAAAAGGTTTCATATTAAAGAATATACAAGGCAAAGAGAAGCAGCAAGTACACCACTAAATGAACTTTTACATTACCATGATAAACTCAAAGATATTCTTAAAAGCTATCATCTACAAGATATATATAATTGTGATGAAACTGGCTTGTATTGGTAGTTAGAACCTGAAAAAACTCTTGCAAGTAAACCTGTTCATAGAAAAAAAAAGACAAGAGATCATGCTACAATTCTAATTATATGTAATAGTACTGATAATGATAAATTACCTTTATACTTTTTCTATAAATACCAAAACCCTATGCTATTCAACGTATTGATAAAGCAAAATTGCCTGTTTATTATTATTAGAATTCTTTTTCCAGGATGCAGCTTTCAATTTTTAACAATTATATTCAAAAACTTAATGAACAAATGAAATAAGCAAAAAGAAAAATTCTTTTATTAATAGATCAAGCTTTGCCACATACTCTTGAAGAAGAATTTGCTTCTTTTAATATTAAAATATACTATCTTCCTGCTAATACAACAACACATTTGCAATCTTGTGATGCAGATATTATTTGGAGTTTTAAGGCATATTATTATAAACTATTTTGTGAAAATCGCATTGCAGCTTATGAAGAAGCAATTAAAACAGGTGAAGATACTTTGCCTTTTAATATTGAAGATGCTATTGATCTTTCTGCTAAAGCATGGAAAAACGTTACCAATAGTACAATTCGTAATTGCTGGATTAAAACTAGAATTCTTCTAGATAATTATTTTTCTTTGAATAATCCTTTACCAACTACTCAAGAACTAATAGAAGATTTTGAGTTAGTTGATCTTACTTTACAAAAATCACAAAAATTAGAGGATACTGATATTGTAATAGAAATTCAGTCTCTAATTATTCAGTTTCCTGTAACTAACCCAATACAAGCAGAAAATTTTATTGAGATTAATAATAGTGTTAAAACAGATATAATACCTAGTGATAATAAAATAATTACTGCTATACTTGATTGTGACTAAAATAAAGCTAATGAAAATGAGCCTAAAGTTCGTATTTCTTATAAAAAAGTTATTATTAATATTAATAATATTTTGCTTTTTATTGATCAGAAAGATGGATTTAAAGTAGATAAATCTTTTGTAAAAAAGCTAAATAGTTTTATAGTTAGAAATAGTATTGCTAAAAAAAAACAAATAACTATAGATTTATATATGCAAAATCAATAATTTGAAATAGGGAACTTAATTATTCAATTATAATAATTTGGTTCACCAATTTAAAATAAATAAAATTTAAAGTTTGCTTATTTAAAAATTGAATAATTAGAATTTGTTTTTTAAACTTAAAAGAATTCTGTATAAAATTAACTTTTCTAAGCATAATTTGTTAGAACCAGACTTTTAGCAATATGTATTTAGAGAACAATTTAAAAAAATTATATTTACAGAAACAAAATATATACTGGATATATGCTTAGACCTGAAGTTGAAGTTGTATAGTAAAATTTCTAATAAAACTATTTGATATAAGAAAGTTTTTTTGTTTAGTATATAACCTTTTTTATAACAAGAGTCTTTTATTATAAGAAACTCTCAATATAAGAAAGATTTTGGTTGGACTCAGAAACCTTCTTATATCGAGAGTCAATTGTAGTAAATTTGTGAATGAGTATTTTAAAGATGCTTTCTAAGATATTAAAGAAAATAGATGCATTAGAGCTAATAGAAGGATTGGTTTAATAGATGAATTTAGTAAAAAAGTAAGGCTTTTTACTAGCTATAGAATGGATAATATAATAAAAGCTTGCTTTGAGAGGTTATTTGTTAGTGGATGCAGATTTAATAGTACTTCTAAAATAAAAGTTGTATAGATGTTTTTTAAAAAAGTCATATAATTGGTAAGAGAAGGGTGTTTTGAGTTTGGTATAGTTTTCTATAGTATTAGTAATAGTGAAATTAAAGAGCCAATCAAAGTAAGAGTTGAGTTTGAAGTAAGGTTTGGTATTAGAGTTAGAAGTGAAGTTAGGGGTACTAGTAGGTTTGTTTGGTTTTGGCAAAAGATAAGTATGAGGGTTGAGTAGGTTGTTTATATATTTGTTTAATAGAAATAGTAAAGAAGTTAGATTGGTTAAGTTGGAGTTTGCTAGAAGTGATAAAAGAGTATATTAGTTGAGATAGTAGCTGTTTGAGAGAAGATAAGGATTAATTGATATCTATATTGAAATTAGTAATAGTATGAGTAAGAGTAGAAGAGAGTTGAAGAGAGAAAGAGATTGTTGAAGACTGTAATTCAAGGAGATATTGTTGCAAAGTAGCATCATTAGGTAAGTTGAATTTGTAAATACTGGCAATATATATAAAGTAGTAAAATTTATTATTTTCTTAAATAATATTTTTTTCTAATAGATAGTGTTGGTTATTAGTAAGTTTGCAACCAATAATATGAAAATATTTAGTATATAAGAGATTATTAGAAGAAGTTAGAAGTAGTGAGTTTTGAGAAGAGAATTGATGTTTTAATATTATTTATAAAGTTAGCAAAGCTAGTAATAGTAGAAACAACATGATTTAGAAGGCTGGGGGTAGATTTTTAAGTAGTTTCATATTGAGAAGTAGGATTAGCAGAAGTGAGTAGAGTGAATTAGGTTTAAGTAAGTAGATTGATTGCAAAAAGGGCAGATATAGAGTGTTAGATAGTAGTAGAAGAGATAGTATTTTGAGATAAATTAGTAGTAGGCTAGATAGTAATAGTAATACTGTTGGATGAAGCTGTAATAGGCTGGGTGAAGAGAAGATCTTGAAAAGCTATTAATTGTTGGGTAGAAGTAAGCAGAGTAAGAGGATTGTTAGTAGAATAGCAAGCTTTGTAGTAAAAATTTTCTTTATAAAAGATAGCATCCAATTGAAATTGGTGCTATTTGTTGTTAATAAAGAATTTGTAAAAGATAGTTTGGTTGCAAATTGAACAGGAATGCTAACAAGCAGTAGAGTCAAAATGGGTTGTGTTAAAATTTTTATAGTAGCTTATAGTAGAAATTATAATAATTTTAATACAAATTATTTTAATCTTAATACATACTATATATTTCTGTAATAGCAAAATAATTTTGTAACAAGATTTTTTTATAATAATTTAAATGCAAACTAACTTAACTATATATTGTAGTTATCAGATAGATAAATAAGTTCCATAATAGAATTTTTTACAATAATTTAATAGAGTTACAAATTTATTTAATATATACTATAGTCAAATAGTAAATTTTATAACAGAATAAATAGCACTTTATATCTTTTATTATATTAATATCAAATAAAAATTGTATATTTTATTTCTTTGTTATATTAAAATCATCTAATCAAGCAATAATAATAGTTTTTAATAATTAATAATTACTAATTAACTATACTAGTAAAAGCTCTAACAATAAAAATAAATATTATAAATTAATAATTATAATAATAGTTAAAATAATTATTTATCTATATTATATAGAAGTGAGTTAGTAGAAAAGAGACAAATCATTTTTAGTAGTTTTTTTTAATTTTTAATTTAAAATATCTCAACAACTATTTAATTAAATTCACTAAATTTTTTTATTTTAATTTAGAAATTTATATAAAATTAAATAAAAAAATTTTTAAATTTAATAAAATAGTTGTTAAAATATTTAAACTTAAAGTTAAGAAAACTTTTATTTTTAGAAAAAACTTTCCTTTTTTACTAACTCACTTCTATATATCTTGTGAATATAAGTAAATATATGGGTCTTTGCCTTGAAAATAACCTTATAGTACATGATACAGTAAAGTTATTTTCAAGACAAAGATCTTATATTATAATTATACAACTCTATATTAAATAAATACATCTATTGTTTATAGATCCAATGGGCTCTAGTCATATTCATATAGGAGTCTCCGGATGTTAAGAAAACCTGGATCCTACCAATACAGATATAGCTAGTATATATAATTTACCTACTTTTTTTCTATGACTAAAAATACAGTACTGTTATTAAACTATTTAACAAAATGAACAGTCAGACTTTTTGAAAAAAGATATACATTCTTATTTTTTAAAATAAAAATAGATCATAAAAACAATATAAACAAAAAGAATATAACAATGAGTAAAACATATTCTGGTTAAATTAAATTAATAAGTGTACTCTTTTTTAATTAATTTCTTACTTCCTTCTGTATACATAAAGTATGAAATTTATTTTAAGAATAATTTAAAATTATTAAATAAATAAATTAATCATAATAAAAAGTTTATAATTTTTGATATATACATAATATATCGATTTAGATTATGCAAGTTTTTTTATAAAGTATTAATAATAAACATAATTCTGAATTCTTGAAAAAAAATACCCAATCTTCTTATTTGGTAACAAAATTCTTTTTAATAACCTTTTTTTTTTAAAAAAAAAAAAAAAAAAAAATTAAAAAAATTTAACTAAAATACAAAAGAATTTACAAATTTATTTTATTCTAATATATAAGTTTTCCTGAAAAAAGATCAATTATTATGACTAAATTTAAGTATTTATTTACAATATATATCAAAATCATAGTAACTATAATTTGAACCAAAATTATAAAGATAAGAAAAATAAAAAGTGAATAAATAAAGGATAAATTTTATTAAAAAGCTTAACTAATAAAGATTTGTAATCAGAAATCATAGAGAAACCAAAAAAATAAAGTATAATAAAAATAGAAATAACAAGAAAACATATTAAAATTTACACTCAAAGTTAAATAGCAAAAAAAAATTAAAGATACGAATGATTGAAATAATCTCTTTATAAAATTTATTATATTGATATTAACTAAAATGAAGCACTTAACAATTACTAATAAAACTAATTACTTTATAATCATAATCAAATCTATACCCATCCTATTTTATTGCTTAAATTAACTAAAATTTATTTGAAATTCATTTTAACAGCATTAACACATAATTATTTATTAAAATCTATTTATAGATACTTATATTTTACTTAAACTATAAAACAAAAAAAAAAGCAAATATCTAATTACAACAAAAAAAAAATTAATAATAACATAAATAATTGCCCTACCAACCTCAAAACTAATTCTTTATCAATTTTAAAATATCTAACAAAAACTTGCAAATAATTATTTGATTAACTTGAAAAAACTTATAAGCTACAACAAATTTTTAAATAGATGACAAACTTTTAAATAGATAATATATGCTTCAAATATAAAATATCAATACCTTGATAACAAAAATTCAACATTAACCTTTATTGAACACATTACGATATTTTTGATGCTTTTAAATTGTAAAAAAAAGTAAAGTATTATCACACACTTATATTTTTAATGATATATTGCAATATACTAATATAAATTAAAAATTTTTAGTATCGTTCTATTCACTCTACCAAAGCAAATCAAATAATAAGAAAAAAAAATTCTAATTGCTAAACCACAAAATATAATCAAAAGTCAATATTACTTAAGTCATTATTAAAATTCTTTATACTTCTCCCAATTTGAGTAATATCTAAAGAAAAAAATGCAGCAATACAATGCATGTTATGTACAGTAGCCAACAAAAGTAACGCACGATTTTTGCTCAAAACATAAAATTTTTATTTATTTAATTTTGATCACACATATATTAAGTTTTTTTTTATTTATTTAATACTTTGATGAATAATCACTTGCATCTGCAATAGCCTCAGTTCTTCATGTCATTGAGTCTTAAACTACATGAAGAACTGAGGTATCCACAAATACCTAACGACCCAGGGTATTATTATTACAAACAGCCGATTGCCCATCACCAATAGAGATAGGTTCAGTCAGCTATCGGTCAGCTATTATCAGCTATCAACTAATAGCCGATCAATTACTTTGAACAATTTCTTAATCAATTTTTTAAACAAACATATAAATAAGTGACAAGTCATGGCGAAAAAAGTTCGGGTCACATGCTATTAAAATTATTCAAAATACGTATTGAAGGTCCGATC